ACTAATGTATTGCTATCTGTGTTTGAATATCCATTACAATATGGTCAGGGCCATGTCTTGCTCATCTTCTACCTGTTCTATGAACATAGTAGGCACTCCATAAATGTTAACTGGGAAAAACGTTCACAAAATAGCACTTTTATGAATGAAGGCATTGGTGTTCTTTGTCTGTACAAGATGTTTCCCAGATTCCTTGTTCCTTTCAAGAAAGTTACAAGAAAGAATAAGCTTTGATATTTCTTATAGAATATTCTTTAGAAAAGAGACAAGGTAAAATGAAATTATTAAAACTAAAGTGGACACTTCATGTCAACATGCTTGATACATGTTTCCTTCTTTCTTACTTGACATTCCAATTACATCTAAATCATGCTGGAGCATAAGCCATCAAAATCAGTTACTTTCTGAAGATTTTATAGGGACAAATGATAGGGCTTTGACATCCCTCAGCTTTACTGAAAATCTCTGGAACAGCAGGAGGAAATATTTGTGATCATTGCACAAAATGATATGCCCAATGGAAAATGGACTACACATGGGTTTCTAAAATGTTTAATTTTCTGTTATGCTCTCCTATATTTAGTCAATTTGATGTGTATTGGAGAGAAACAAACTTTCCCCATAGCTCTGTTTGTAATGTATAGCTATATAGTTAGAAGATCTGTTAGTAATATGTAGTTATACAATTAGATGAATGCAATGTATTTTTCTTTTTCCATCTCTACTTTGTATTCCACTTATGCCATTGCCTCAGCTGATCAAAAATGTAAGGGCTCTTATTAAGTTCCCTTTAAACACAAAAGTCATAATGTTATTTAAAATATATATTCTTTTTCCAAGAGGAAGACATTGCTCATATATTCACAGTATCTACTACAAATTCCATGAGACCATAAGACAGTGAAAGTCTTTTGGTGTTTGCCTCATTGATCATTTTTTAAAAGTTATGGACAGACTATTACAAAACTTTAAGGCTTTTTGCTGCCACCAGCTGGTTCTGCTTCTTATCCAGGGTGTCTAAAAATGGTAAATGTAGATTATTTTGGGGACAACGACACTAAAGAGAGCACTAGTAATAAAATTGTGATGAAGGAGGAGCATTGTCTCAGCTCACATGTGTTTAGATGCCTTTCTCATGCTGACATTTTTTCATTGGTGAAATACTCGCTCACTGAATGATAGATGAGGGGCCACATTTCTCTGCAATCTGAGACTTGAGGTTGACAATTATCAGGCAAAGGAGTCTCTGCATCCAACATCAGGAGCCTACATCTTGAAAGGTGTTCCCAACTTTGGGTAGTGCTATTCATCTTGATTAGTCAAATACAACAGTGTGGGATCTTCAAATTTAATACCTTAGGTAATTAAATCTAGCACTACTTGGGTAGCATCAATCTCTTTGTAGTATTTAGTCATTTGTGATTAAGAAATAAACTTGATAATATTTACAAAGCAATGGAAGTAGTTGCAGATAATAATTACTGGCTCCTTCTAAACTATGACAGATTAGAAATAGAAAATCTGTTATGACAACAAGAAACAATGGAGTTTCACTATTTCTTTCAGGTGGTATATAACACAAAGGAGTGATGGGGAGAAAAAGACAAAAATAAGAATTTAATTTGATCTTTAGCACAAACACAAAATTTAATTCTAATTGTCTCTTTGTTTATTTAGACCCATTTGTATTGTGATACAGTCTCTCTACCTCAGATATTCTCATCTACAAAAGCTAATCAGTTTTGTCAAATAGAATTTGCTTCAAGAGTGATTCTCTTTCAAATTTATGTTCTTGGAAAGGAACTGAAAGACAAAAAGGTCATCAAGATTAAAATATATGAAAATTTCACTCATTTTAAGATTATAAAATGTAAAGCTATATACCTGACTATGTTTATATTCCTTGGACCTGTAATTAACTTTTTAATCATATTTAAATGATCAAAGTAACTGAAAACATACTAATTCAGTTTTGAACTAAAGATTTCACAAATAGGGTGTGTTCTGTATATCTAATCTTATATGTACAGTGACACATTTGTTTATATAGGTTTGTTTATAAGAACATAGTTATAATTTTATATTTATAGTGAAATATGTCTAGCTCTGCTGGAAATCAAAGAAGAAATCTTTCCCAGAGGAGAATAAAGTGTAGGTGGAACAATTCATTTTTAGCATAATGAAAGCACACTACTGCAAAATAATGTCCTTTGGAAATGATTTTTTAAATTGGCTGCACATGTGTGGCTAGACAATTTCTTATCAAGCTAAGTAAACATGATTAATTCTGGCAGTTATTCAGATGGCACATGGAAACATTCTGACTTCATTTTATCATGATAAATTTATCATTGCTTTCCTGGAGCAAGAACATTTTTATTATAACACTATAGATTGTACATCTGTGAGTGTGACTATGTAAGTATAGAAGTCTCATTAGGCTTCCATTAAGCATTGCAAATGCTCCATAATAATTTTTAAAAGTCCTCAAATACAAAATGATACTTAATTCTTTATCTCCACACTAGTTATATACAGTACTTCATATTCTTTGTTAATCAGCATGGGTCATATGCTTGTGTAGACCCCATACAAGTTGTAGTGTTGCAACTAAGACTGCCAAATGAAGTTAAAAGTGCATGGTAGTTTTGAGTCTAAATTTTGGGGTTCTGGTGGAATGGTCTTGGTGAAGGAAGGAAAAAAATTACATGACAGGGATCATCAGTTTGAACACTGGATGTAACTGGGAATGCATTGACTTTTGAAATACACAGAATAATAAAAATTTTTAAGTTATGCAAAAACGAAGCTGAGAGTAACTTAAGTGAACTTAGATATTTAAAAGATGGTATTACTGAAATACTGTGTGAGAAACATGAAATCACATATCACATTTTAGCGAATTTTCTGAATATATCCGAAAGAATCTTAGTTTGGGATTATGGGTTGTGCAGACTGGGCAAAGCACTTAACTTCTCTGAGTTCTAAAATGTGTAACTTTTCTTCCTTATAAAAATAGAAATAGCAAGGGCAACCTTATGAAAGACTTCAAACATTTTTGAGGTACAGACCCAAGTTAATGATAAATAATAGGCATTAGGTCCTAGCTTTCATTGTGTATAGATCAGAAAACCTGAAATGCTATAAGAAGATTCTTGGTTTTATGGAAAGTAAGCCTGCATTCTGAATGTGAACTTGTATCTACTTTGTAGCACTAGAGTAAAATAATTTCAAACAATAGAGAACAAGAAATAAGCCAAAGCTAAACACTGCATAAATTCTCAAACTTCAGAAAAAGTACATACTGCTGTGTTTAAGGAAATATGGATAATAGTTAAATTTTTAATAAAAATAAAGTACAATTAAGGATCTTGAACTCCAGTTGGTGGTCACCGTGAAGACCCATGAACAGATGTTCTCTTCTTAGGTCCTATGCTATACAATGAAGAAGTATTTATTATTGAAGATGATGGTAATAAGAATTAGATTTTGTTAGTAAGCAAGCTCCAACTTCCATTTATTATCCTGCACCCTTCTCACTGAGACTGGGTCTCACTGCATAGCTCAGGCTAGCCTTGAACTCTAGATTCTCTTGCCTCAGCATCTTGAGTGCTAGGATTACAGCTCATGGCATCACTCTCAGTTTTAGAGATTATTTTTGATATCAAATTTTTAGGCCTAATATCACTGTCAAGGTTTGCAATGTTACTACAAAGACATCTGACCACCATGATTAACATTACTCCTCATTTCACATATGTAGGCCCTTGTACTATCCAGTAAACCTGGTGTTTTAATGTCTCACCTGTAGAACAGGACTAGTGACAATAACTAGGATTGGGATGGGGAGAGAAGAGATGGTGTTGAGCTAACATGCAGAGTCTCTTTAAGAAAGGCTGGGTAAGAGAGGTAGAGGAAGGAGTGTCTTGCAGTGAGCACTAATTTAACTATAACATGTCATTTTTTATTAGTACAATTATATCCTTGTCTACTTACTAGATTTACAATTGCTTGTTGTTACACCTCAGTGTTCAGCATGGTATAGGACACCCGTATATGAAAAGAAGACTCCATCTGTGTGGAGCTTCTTTCTTCCATTAATTTCATGTGTTAGGAAAATTGATTGGGTTAAGAAGTTATTTCTTTAAAAACTTAGTCTCTCCTGAGTTTTCTTCTTGATCCCACTGGGATCAAACCAAGGGCCTTACATATGCTAGGCAAGCACTCTACCACTGAAGTACATTCCCAGGCCAGTTTTCTTCCTTAAACCATTCACACCTTGGGACAAATTACTTTGATCTAATAATTTGCAGTAGTGCTTGATGTCATTGTGCCCTCAGTGGGGTGTCAGATTGGAGGTGAGGGAGCACAGTCCTCTTGGGGCTAGGGATTTGGACTATTGAGGGAAGCATTAGAGGGATGGTAGCCTAAGGAATGTGCATGGGAAGTTCAAGAGGAGTTTGCAAAGGACCAGAGTGGTTACCATTGCAGAGACTTCACTGTCCAGGCCAATCTAGAGGGACCTGACAGCACAGTCCACCCAACTCTTTGACTGCATCTTTGATCCTGGTGTTTAGGGGGCACACCTCTTCAAGCATCTCTCAGGTCTAACCTGTGCTATTTGGTCCACATTAACCCTGCTTCATCTGTTTTAACCCAATTCCTGCTTTTCCCCACTGGAAAGATGAAAAGAGAGAAGGAGAAATGAAGGGAATAAGATATCACATCGACCTCCTTTCTTCCACTCATTCTTTTAGAAATTACTAGTGTGGTCTAATATAGACTTCATGGAATTTCCCACTTCATGGGACATTTAAGATATCTTCCTACACTCTTCGCAAACACCCTTCCACAATAAATGTTTGGACAATTTGTCCACAGCTACTTCTGACATGAGGTCTTTGAGTTGCTGAGAGCATACTTATCTCATATCTTCTTTTCCAAGCTTAGAGTACAAGCTTTGTCCTCAGGGGTCTACCATGGCCCTGGCAATTACCTACCCGCCTTCTTCTGAATATTTATGCCCAAATGCCAGGATGTCGGATGCCCGTCCACTGCCATCACAGACAACGACCGGCACAGGAGGGGTGTCTCGAAGGTACTCCAAAACGATCGAGATCACATTGGGTCCTCCTTCCACAATGAGGGCCACCACTGGAACACCTTGACCGATTCCTGCATTAAAAAAGGAAAAGAAAAGGAAAAAAAAGAGAAAAGAACACAAAGCCAGCAAACCAAAGAAACAAAAAGAGAAACAAAAAGCACAAACTAAAATTACTGAGCATGGGGAGGTAACAACATATGAGGGGATAAAATACTGAGTGAAAAATTTATAGAAAACGCATTAAAAATAATTTTCCTCACCCCAGGTAGTCTATTTGACTTCGCCCTCTCCCCACAATAGTCAGTGTATAGTGTTCCCTAGTGATTACCCTACTTTATAGTGGAGAGCCTAGGATGAGGGAAGAGAAAGGAATTGGTTAACAGAGAAAGCGCTGGGCTGGCAGCTAAAAGATTGAAAGATAAATGTGATCTTCATTAAGTCTCTTATCTATACCATTGTTCAGTTTCCTATATGAGAAAATAGGAAGTAAAAAAATTTCCACATCCCTGGTTATCACAGTGGTAAGAAATAGGTATTTTTATTAAAGTCTATCAAAATCAGTGGGGGGCTTGTTGAATCAACTATTGGCTACGTTAAGGAGCTCTGTATTCTGACTATAGATGATCCACTTGATTATTGGTTCTTAACAACATAGTAGTCATAGTAGGTTACCCAGGACACCTGGCATGTGCTTTAATTGCATCCCTCACTACTCACCAAAGGCTGGTGTTCAGCCTTTGAAATCAGTTGGATTAAGCGGTTTCACAGATTTATCCTAAAATATTAAAGTTATTGATTACAAGTCAGAAGATACTGATGTTTTCAGGTAAAAATTGCTCAATTATCAGCACTGTATGTATAGTTCAACCTGAGACATAAAAGAAGTATTGAGTGCCCATGAGAGATTTGTTTATTAAATTCATTTTCATGTGACATTTTAAGTCTTATCAATGTCCATATAACAACTTCCTTTTGTTCAATTTGATATCACACTGTATTCTCTCTCCCTACCTCCTCAGAATAGTTAGGAAGTTGAGCAATATCTTAACAATGGGATAGTTTTATAGAGTATACAAAATAGTTATCTAAAAAATGTAACCAAAATTCTATGTCACGTCTGTAAAGATGAACCTATAAAAACCATAAACAAACAACCTTTGATCATTTGAGTTCTCTTTCTCATTCCTTTTGCTATGGTTTTATTTTGTATCAGGAAGCTGGCTTCCCACTGACAAATAATAGTCTGGGGTTTGTTTTATGCTTTATTATCAAGAAGTTTTGACTTATGTGACCTTATTTACTTCTATAACATGAGTACTTCAGTCTCATGGAGCCTTACTGCTTTGAACTCAGAAAAGATAGATTTTCATAGTTCAATTTTCATCTTAAAGGAGTCATTCAAAATCCCAGTTACATAAAATGAGTGCTGTTTTAAAGCTAACATTTAAAAATATAAAGAATGATTGTTGATCAAGATAAGATGTCAAGATTTCTTCATGTTCTCTAGAGAGAGTTGGGAGAGAGACGTGACCTAGGGTCCCACTAACTTTCTGTGGATGGGGAGGTTTTGACAATTACTCCTTAAAATCCAAGGACAGAGAAGTTTAAGGTCTCCATGCTCTCTGACCTAGGACCCCTTACAGACTTGAACAGTGGGTCTTTTTCAAGCCTGTTGGGTTCCTGTGAAGGAGACACTTTCCCATTGCTGCCAACTAAAACCGTTAAGTTCCGTTGAAAGGCCTTTTAAAGATTGAGGCTAACTTGGGAAGCTAACACATCATCTTCTTTTATTTAGAATTTGCTGTCCTATCAAAAACGTGTACCTCTATAGGGATCTGTATTTTGATATGACTTGGAAAAGATAGCCTGTTTTAGAGTTATTTTATGAGGTATTTCTTAAAGTACTTTGCTTTACTTTTCCCCTTTGCTTTGCTTTAGCACATACTCCCATTATTACTGAATTTATATCAAGAAACAAAATGCCCTTCCTTCTGTTTTATATCAAAGAATATAGCTAGACTCACTGCAGATTGTCTAAGAGATCCTATAATTTGCCAAATTCTAACTCTTTTTTTTTTTTTTTGGTTGACAGTCATGCATTTTATATTCAACTCTTTGTTAGATTGGGTCAATAAAGTGTTCTAACTATAACTGATGAAATTCATCTTTGTGAGCTTTTAAAAAATTGGTTATACATTTATTCATATGTGTATACATTGTTTGTGCCACCTCTCACCCCATCCTCCCCCCGCTCCCAGCCTTCTCGCTTCCAGGTAGAATAAATTCTACTCTCAAGCATGAATTCTATCAGTGGGACATTTTTACTCCAGCTCATAGACTAAGTGTGATCTACTTAATGGAGGGAGAAGACCTAGAGTGGACCTTCTAGAATGTTCCAACGTTCTGGTGTCTACAGGACAATAGGCAATATGGCTGGAAATCACTTCCGTTTGATAGGATACATAGGTATAAAGAATTGGTTTTAATAGGCTGATTTATTTGAGAGTAATAAACTGAATTTATATCTTGCTAATATATTTGTCAATGTATCAAAACATAGCCTCTAGAAATACAGAAATAGGATAGGATTTCATATGTTTAATCAAGATGATTAAGTCAGACCAAGTTCAGTGCTGAAAACTGGATGGAGCAGAGTCTCCCTTTTAAAAATATTGAATATATCTATACTTACAACTTCTCTATTTCCTTCAGTGATAGAAAACAGAATGTTTTTCATAGACAATAAAAGCATTATATCCTAAATTAAAAGCATTTTTGAATTTCTTAAAGTTGGTACAGAACCAGTCTATGCTTAAAAATACTATGCTTAGTATAAATTGAACTTTCCAAGATATGGTATCATTAAGCCTTTCTGTCTGTGTACACATACGCACACCCCACACAAACCATTATTCTGATATTAAATAATTAATAATGACTTAAAGCAATGGTTCTTATCCTATTTTTGGAGGCAAGAATCTTAGAATACTTTTATGATTCTGATTAAAGCTAATGACCCTTTTTCTAGAAAAGTAAATGCATATCCAGACAGACACAAAGATATTTCTATTCAATTTCAAGGGATTCACAGATCCCTGAGGCTTATCCATGAATACCATGATAACGAACCTTTCGAAATTTCACCCTAATTTAAGCACATTGACACATTCAGGCACAAGTTTGTGTTATCTTATGAATCTTACTGAGATAAGTTCTAGGATGGGTTTTCAAGCAAAATTCTGTATCCAAGGGAATTATATCTCCTTAATACTACTTAGTTGTATTGATTGGCTAAGCCTTCCAAGGTACAGTTCTATATACTACCCTTCTTCCATTCCTTTCCTTTTCTTCCCTATTTAATAAAATTTTTTTTCTGTCCACACTTTGTTTTCTAAGTTAGATTTGGGATATAGAATAGTTAGAAAAATCTCTAGAAAAATTAACAAATTGGGATCTGCAGGATATGACCTCATAGAAAAGAAGCAACTTTTAAAACTTTTTTTCTTATTAGTGATACAACAAAATGTTTTTGGAACCCTCTGCCTCTGGAGCTGGACTGGATCCACAAGGCTTGCTCCCATCTTTTTTATGCTCAACCAAAAATTAATACCAGTTCATTTGAAGATTCTCGTGGCTCTGTATTACTCAGCTTAGACCTACTGGCTATTAACCTCCCACTCAAATAAAAGTTATTTAGATTTACACTGAAAAATATGTATTATTTAGGAAAAAGCTTGTCTAGAATTCTCTGGGGCATTTTTTGTGTGAATTCTTGTTCTTTTGGTTTTGGGGGAAAGTAGATTAATTCCTTAGTTGACTGTAGTCATTTTTTATTTTCTTCCATAAACAAAGACTTGTAGTAGTGCTTAGAGATTTCTACTAGAATTTAACTTGGTAATAAAATTTAAGTTGTCTTAAGCAACAAGAGGCAAGATATTTGCCACACTCTTCAATTAGAATCAAGATAGCCTTTAACAGCTATAGTTTACAGGATTCCAGGTTGACCTAGGGCTTTCTAATTGCATTCAAAACCCTAATTATTTGTATAAGATAACCTCTTAGATTTTTGTCACATCTCATTCTGTCTGCTGTGCAATTCAGCCAGGGCTCCCTCAAAAGTGGAAAGTATCTAAATTGGTTAAGGAAAGACTGTTGGGTGTTGTGAGGGAGACAGGTGGCAGAGAAAAAATGATTCAAAATTCTAGGCAGGTTTTCTTTTTTTTTTTTTTTTGTATTTTCAAGCATTTTTCTTTCTTCTGACATAAAACCCTAATCTATGATCAGTTCAGGCAGTCATGAAAATATTTGGTATTGTAGAGAAATGTCTGGATTACTGAGGATTTTGTTCAACTAACACCTTGGATTTATGTCAAGATCACCAGATATGATCTAAAGTGCTATGGTCCTTGGGGATCATTTATTTGCTGTTAAAAATGGCTCGTATTTACCTGTGTGCTTCTGAGGGAAGACTGTTCTCTACCTAAGTCTCAATGACCAATCCTAGATCATGATTCTTAAAGTATGTGTCATTCAGAAAGTGGGTTTGCACTCTGGGTGAGATGACTTCCTGAAGACCTTGCCCAATCCAAGACTAAGCCTGTCATCAGTAAGGAGATATTTCTGTTTACCAGCAAAAGCCTTGTAACAATTACAAAATAATTAATTCCTGGCCATACTAGATCTGGAATAAGGTGATTCTTAATGTTTTAAAACGTTTGTATTATTCCTGTGCTTGGAAATGGTGTATATTTGAGACTCCAATTTTATGTTGCACAGCCTTAAATTTGCATAATTATAACTTACATAACATTAAAAAGAATTGAACATGTCTTCTTCACACACCCTCTTACTCAAATAACCTAGGCTTTGGTTTGGTGGTTGATCTTGCCAATTAAAACATGATCATCATCTCCTATAGATTACATATTGGGGCCATAAAGACTAAATAACTCTCTAAATATTGCATTTTTCAAACAAAACTTTCCACAAACTTGGGGGACATTAGCTATTCCTGTAGTGATGGAAGGGTAGAAGGTAGACAACTTATTCCCCTCATGTGGATGGGCACAAT